CAGCTCTCGGATTTGCAGGATCTGAGTACGCAGAGAGGCAGAGGGGCTGTTCGTGTTTCAGCGAGATGTCCTACGCGCTCCTCTGCACCTCTGAGTTACTCAGACAAGCACTGAGCAGGGACGACTTCAAGCCTGTGCCCACCGGGTAACCGGTCAAACGCAAAACCATGTGCTTTAACAGGGAACTGTGTTCAATTTCCTGTAATGAGCTATATTGGGAAAGAGTCTGGAAACATATATATGACTGAATCACTTTGCTGTACATCTGAAACTAATATTGTAAATCAACTGCACTTCAATAAAAAAAAATAAAATAAATTAAAAAATAAATAAACCATATGCTATACAAGTCACCAGAATTGAATACTGGCTCATTCACCTCAAACAAATCTAAATAAAAAGGCAAAGTCATCAGAATAAAGGGCAAGAATGACATCTCCCCAGGCTGCTCACCAGAGGGTGGAAGAGGTAGATGGAGCTCAGGCAGGTAGACGGGGCTCAGGCAGGGAGAGGGGGCTCAGGCAGGGAGAGGGGGTTCAGGCAGGGAGAGGGGGTTCAGGCAAGAAGGGGCTCAGGCAGGGAGATAGAGCCCAGGCAGGGAGAAGGGGCTCAGGCAGGGAGAGGTGGGTTCAGGCAGGGAGAGGGGGTTCAGGCGGGCAGACAGCAGGACAACAGCTTTGCTGCCCAACAGTCCCTGTGCCAAACTAACCACTCCAGTGAGTGTGTAATCACGTCCTCATGCCTTTAAAGCAACATATGGACACAAAATTCAGAAGTCTGGAAACTTCTACCCTAAACCAATTCCTTAATTTTAGAAGGAAGGAAGGAGAGGCCCACAGAGGGTTAGTGCCTGGGCGGAGGCCCCGTTCACCTAAAAACCCCTGACTTCCGTGGCACGTGCCTCCGGGAACGCTCCCCGACGGCCGCTGCTCCAGCAGCCTCTCTGGGAAGAAGTCTCAGGCGAGCTCACACCCTGCATTAGGGTCTGGGTCCTCATGCTGCTTCCAGTTCAAAGTGATCAGGCGTAAAGTCCACTCGTTCCTTCTTCCATCCAACAAACAGTAAACATCCACCAGTGAGGAGAGCGCTGCATTTTCACTTTAACTTTACAACTACTGAGAGGGTAAGAACCGTCACTCACGACTTACACGCGCAGGCAGAGACAGTGCTCTGTCGGGACGCCCGCACGGACAACTGGGATTCTTTGCTACACCGCCTGTGACATAACATTTAATGTCTGATACTGACTGCAAATAGCATTACACACACAAAGCAACGATGTCGGAATGCCAGTGGGAGGTAGATTTTTTTTCTGGCAACTCAGAAATGGTCATTTAAATAGTTGTCAACTATGCATAAGTTTTTATATGTTAGTTGCTGGGACTGTTTTTCTAAATATCAAGTACTCTTCATTCCAGGGTCCTGCACAAAGTTACAAGTATATTCTCAGCTTTCACTCAGGATTCACTGCATTGACCTTCTCACCCAATATCTGCTCAAGGGAAGAACCAAAGATAAAGACCTTTAAAATGAGAACCGATCATGTTCAAAATTTTCTAAGCTACAGACTTTAAAGTTGTGATTAAATTCTTTTGCAGAATCACGATTTCTGTAAATTCAGAAATTCTGTGGTAATATTAAATGTTTGCAGAATCACTATTTCTGTAAATTCAGAAATTCCACAGTAATATGCTATGAGGGAGGTGAGGTCCCACTAATAGGAAACTTAAAATGCTACAAGGACATTTGGGGACTGTAACTAAAACCTCAACTTTATAGAAAATAGAACAAATTGTCTTGAGAGACGATCAAAACTATATTCTATTCAAGGCAGAAGTCAGAGCAGAAAGGGCATCAGAGAACACATATTTACTTTATCAACAGAAAAGGCTAGAAATAGGATGCATTCCTCAGGCCTGCATGTCACATGCCCACAGGCCGAAATCTCCCTCGTGTGCACAAGGGTAGCAGGCGAGACACAGACACAGGAGGCCTGGTCTGTCACCTGCCACTTTCTGTCCCAGGCAGTCTGAGGCAGAACTCTTCAGTTTAGTCTTGAAATTCATCATCTAAATGTCATCACAGAAAAGCTAAGGTTCACAAATCAGGCTGTTCATGTTGAAGCACCAACCACATTTCTGCATCACTTTCTGTGCTGGCTAAAAGACAAAATGCATGAAGGTCTCCACCCCCATCTCCTTCTTCCTCTCAATCTTTCTCACTGATCACTGATTTGAAAGTGTGAACAGTTACAGCTAGATCAATCATTATCTGCATTACAGTGTTTATGTCCCAAATAGAAGGCGATAAAAGCCATGTAAGCATCAAGGAGCACACATAAAAAGACACAAAAGACAAAAGGTGACCATGTCACTGATGAATTCTGTCATGATGAGAGGGTCAATTCCTCAAGACCTAACAGTTACAAACATATATACGTACCCAACAACAGAGCCTTAAAACAGGTGAAGCAAGAGCCGACAGAACTGAAGGAAGAAAGAGAAAATTACCCGCTTTCAATAATGAACAGAACAACTCAACAGAAGACCATCCAGGAAACAGAAGCCTGAACACCACTGTAAACCAGCGCGACCTAACAGGCACCCACAGAACTCCCCACCAGAAACAGAATATTCTCAAGTGCACATGGAACATCCTCCACGTCAGACCAGGTATCAGGCCATACAACAAGCCTCAGTGTATTTAAAAAGAATGAAATTATATAGTGTATTCTCCAATTGCAACAGAATGAAATTAGAAATCAGTAACAAAATGAAATTTAGGAAATACACAAATATATGGAAATTAAACAACAAATTCCTTAGTAACCCATGAGTCAAAGAAAAATCATAAGGGAAACTAAAATATAACTGTAGATGAGTGAAAAGTGAAAACGCAACACACCAAAATTTACGAGATTCAGCGAGAGCAGTTCTCACAAAGAAATGTGTAACTGTCAGTGCCTGTATAAAAAAGAAGGAAGACCTGGTAACAATACCCTAAACTTGCATCTTAAGAAGCTAGGAAAAGAGAAAACTCAACCCAAAGCAAGCAGAAGGGAGGCTACAATAAGGGTTACAGCAGAAATCAATGAGGGAACAGAAAACCGACAGAGAAAAATCAACAGAACCAGAAGCTGATTCTCTGAGAAGAGCAAAAAGCCGGACAAATCTTAAGGTATAGCAACCAAAAAGAGACAAGACTAAAACGACAAAAGCCAGGAATAAAGAGGGAACACTACGAACAACATTACGTAAATAAAAAGGTAACACGATGAAGGGCTCTGTGCCATTAGACTGCCTGGGCCAAATGGACACGTGCCTAGAAAGACACAAACTACCAAATCTGACCTAAAAGGAAGGAACAGGTCTGAGAAAGAAGTCAGAGTTACAGGTCTGAATAGACCCGTAACAGATAGAGACTGAACGAGCAATCAAAATACTTCCCATAATGAAAAGCCCGAGACTCGCGGGTTCCACCAGCAAATTCCACCAAATATTTAAAGAAGAATTAATACTAATCCTCCACACACTCTTCCCCAAAATAACAAAAGCAGAAACAGAAGGAAAGGGAACTCTTCTCAACTCATTCTGTGAGTCCAGTGTTACCCCGATAACAAAATCACACAAAGACAACACGAAAAAAGAAACCTACGGATCAACATGCTTATCAGCATAGACACAAAAGTCCCCAACAAACCATGAGCAAACCAAGCCCAGAAACATATAAAACGACTGTGTATCGTTAAGTGAGATTTACCCCAGGACGGAAAAGCTGGCTTAAACTCTTAAAAAGTCAGGGCAGGAGGGGTTTACAGCTCAGTAGTAAAGCGCGTGCTTAACATGCACGAGGTCCTAGGTTCAATCCCCAGTCCCTCCAGTTAAAAAAAAATTTTCTAACTAAATAAATTAAACTTCTAAAAAAGTTTCAAAAAGTAATCATTGTAATATACTACAGTAATAAAATAAAGGATAAAAACTTCAATAGATGCAGAAAAAGAATTTGATAAACTCCAGTACCCTTTCCTGATAGAACACATTCAACAAACCGGGAGCAAGCAGGAGGAAGGTTCCTCATCCTGACAGTGGGCGTCTGTGAAAACCCCAAGAGCTATCCCCACACTCGGCGCTGAAGACGGAAAGCTCCCCCTAAGATCAAGGACAAGACACAGGTACCTGCTCTCAACACTGCTACTCAGCACTGTACTAGAACTTGTAGTCAGAGTAATTAGGTTAAAAAGAGAAAGAAAGAAACAAGGGTACTTGACTGGAAAGAAAAAAAGACAACTATCTATTTGCAGATGGATGACCCTGTATATAGAAATCCTCTAAAAACCACACACACAGAAAACCTACTAGAACAATAAATGAGCCTCAGCAAGGTTGCAGGGTGTAAAATAAAAACACAGAAACCAACTGCACTTCTATATACCAGCAATTAACAACCCATGAACGTTTAAGAAAACAATTCCATTCATAATAGCATCTAAAAGAATAAAACAGGTACTAATTTATCTACTTACTAATTTATTATTACACTTGTTCTAATAAACGTAACTAAAGACAAGCAATCAAAGGGAAATGCTGCATGATGTACAGAGGGCAACAATTTGAATGACACTGAATTTCTCCCCGAACAGGCACCACAAGACACTGGTCACCCCTGAACTTAAGGAACCGTCCACCGCAAGCACAGCGGTCTGATCTGCGGAGCCCGCAAGCGCCGCCGCGTCTGCAGGCTGGGCTGGCTCCTGCACTAGGAACGCCCTCCCCGCCTCACCGCCTTGAAGAGCCCACCCTCCAGGACCCTATTCCAACCGTACGTCCCCTCTTTCACAGGCCTCCAGGTCCTGCTGGGACGCTTCTCTCATTTGTTCCACCTATGTTAAGTTTTAACTTATCGTTCAATTATGATAATTCAAACTTATGCCTAAAACCTCTACCAGGAAAATGATCTGCTGGGATGTTCTTAAGCGACCACATTTCCCACAAGATACATACGGCCACTCCGACTCCGGCTGCTTCTGGTGCGCTTCTATGACATCGATCGCAATATTGAGGTTTTCTTCCAGCTCCTTCATTCTTTCAGAATTAAGGGATGTGAACAAAATCATTGATGAGTAGGCAACGATCTTTTTGTCTGGATGGTTTAAGCAAGACCTTCCAAAGAAAGAAATCAGGGGGTTAGCCCAATGCAGCAACATGACAAAACATGATGTAACATGTAACAATAATCCCATTAACAAATTGAGTACAAGCTGATATTTCTAAGGATTTAATGAAGAATTACAACACTCTGAAACAAGTACATTGTTTACTGCAAAATTGGCAAATATAAAATTAGCCGCAACACAAAGTATCCAATACTAAAGCTGCGGCTGACTGACGACTCAAGCAACAGGAAATAACATCTGATTAAAAAAACATATTAAATGATTACATCTATAAAACAATAAAATATTCATTCTTGTTAGAAAAATAAAAAGGCAAAAAATAATACCTCAAAGACTACAGATAGTCCTTTACCAGTTTGAGGGACAGAAATATTTAAGGGAAAGTTGATATATTGGCAAGAAACACAATTAGGAGTCGAAAGCTTCAGTGTGACTCCCGGCTCATCCACCCATCAGCTGTGTGATCACAGAAAGGCCACTGATGTACCGGCTGTCAATTACGAGTCAGGCACCATGACAGGATTTTATTTTCATTTAAACTTTGTAATACTCTTCTGGAGGAGCTATTTTCTTTATTGTGTAGATTCAGAATGAGTTGACCTGACGTGCCCCAGGGCACAAAGCCGGTACCTGCCAAAGCTGAATTCAGATTTGGTTGTATCTGTCTTACAAACACACAGGGTGAGGTCACACAGCCTCTTTCAGAGTGTTTTCTGACATAAAAATGGACTATCTCAGAGGGCTTTTGTGAGGACCAGGTTTGATAATGTATCTAAAGCCACCACGTGAACTTCTCCAACTGCCCTGTTCAAGGGCCTCTCCTCTGCGTCCCCGGGGCACCTGGAGTTACCGGTGTTACATCGGCTCTTTCACTACAGCATGCCTGCCCATTCCTTTATTTCCCCAACCAAAGCATGGGCACCTGGGGAGTAAGGACTACATCTACGTTACCTTTGTTCTGCTCGTCCAGCTCAGAACCTGGCAGCTATCAGGTGTTCAAAATGTTTTAAAGGAATGAATTCTCAGAAATGAGTAATTTCTATTTCTGTAGCTTAAATTCCACAATTCCTTCGTTCCAACCTAAGTTCCATTATTATCAATCATAAAGACGTCATGCCTTCAGCTCTAATTATTGCAGGAGTTTGAGGACCAGTTACAGACTCGGTGAGCTAGAGACAACATTAGACTCTGTGTGATCCTAACACCACACAGATGAGCCCAGAAAACCCCTCCAACCAGGGAGGGCAGCACAGAAGTCAGGCAGCTGGTGTTTAAAAGGGTGTAGGCTTTGGATCCAGAGGGCAGCACTGGGTTTACGTGCCAGCCACGCCATTTACCAGCAATAAGCGTCAGTCCCCTCATCTGTCCAAATGGGGACAGTACCGCTCGGCCAGCAGAGAGGTTGGACAGGACAGGGAAATACACAGACAACATCCAGCCCAGAGCATTCAAACAACAGCTGCCTGTACTGTCACCACCACCCCCGTTCGTTGGCAGCAGAACCTGGATCAGAGGCCGGGCCTTGTGCTCCCGGAGGAGCCTCTCCTCTCACCCGCCCGTCCCCGTCACCCGCTCCCCCGTCATCTCAGTGCTCCACCAGCACAGCCAGTCAACACAAAGTAGCAAACCGCCGGGAAGGGCACCACGAACCCAGCTAGACAGACAGACTGGCTGCCACAGCCCTCACCCCTCCACGCCCACCAGATGGACAGCCTCACGCTGAGCTTAGAAGACACGCTCCGCTAACAAGTAATTCACTGCCCATACTTCAATGCTTTATGGCTTTTTTCTTATACATTTTTTTCTTATAAAAAAGTATCCTTAACAGTATTTCTTACTTAAACCAAAATTTTTATTTACTTAAAGTAAAATTGGCATACAATGAAGAAAATCTTGAATGTACACCCCCCCAAATTATTAGATCTGTATTTACCTATGTACCCACCACCCAGATCAAGACAGAGAACGTTCCCAGAAGCCCAGGACGCGCCCTCGTGCCCTCTCCCAGCCAGTACAGAGCCCGCCACCACCGGCCAAGAGCAACCCCTGTCCTGAATTCCACTACCAGAGGTTAGTCTTCCTGTTTTGGAACTTCATGCGAGTGGAATGGTAGGACCACAGTCTTTTCAGAAGTTAGAAAAGCTCTCATCAATATACTCACAAAAAGAGCTCTGGGAAAGCGTGCATCCAAACAATGGACTGGGAATCCTCGTTCCGCGAGGCAACGTTGCCTAGAAACTGCAGGCCGCAGCGAAAGGCTGAGGGTTTACAAAACAAAACAGACGTATGATTAAAAGAACTTTTTAACACACTAAATGAGTACATCTTAATAAGAAATGTCCCATGTTATTAAACAGGAAGTTTCTGTTAGCTTCTTTTAACCATAAAAAGTCTCTCCCCACAATTAAATTTTGGGCGTGATGTTAACATTAAAATGCCTTACAAAACAATGCACTCTATACAAAATTAATTAACTTCTTTAAAAGACTGTAAAAGTAGACACAGATATACCTGTAATCACATTAAATATCATTGGAACATGTGCTCCAACTGAAAGACAGGTACCCTGAGACTGGATATTTTAAAACCCAACAATCTGCTCTTCCCAAACAAGACATGTTAAATGTAAGGCTACAGAAGTACTGAAAGTTAAAGAACGGTAAAAAAGATAAAGGAGGGAAATGCCAGCCTAAAAGGGGTCATACTCCACTTAAAATAAGAGATAATAAACTTTAAGGCAAAAAGCATTACTGGACATTTGCTTAAATGTCACTTCAGAATGCCTTAATTCACCAGAAAGACACAATCTTAAATTGGAATCACTTAATAATATGGCTTCAAAATATATAAAGAAAAACTGACAAAAGTATTGGGGAAAGAGAAAAATCCACAATCAAATTTGGCGATAATAATATACCTTTTTCAGCAAATTACAGAACAAGCAGACAAAACTACTGACATACTGAAAAGATTTGAATAAGTGACGGGAGGATTTAGCTCAAGTGGAAGAGCGCAAGCTTAGCATACATAAGGTCCTGGGTTCAATCCCCAGCACCTCCTCTGAAAATAAATAAATCAATAAACCTAATTCCCACCCACCCCCATATTTAGAATATTTCACCAAATAAAACTGCAGAATATTGGACAAGATCCAGAACACTGACAACAAATGCCGGACAAGGCGAGGACATGGAGCAACAGGAATGCTCACTTAGTGCTGGTGGGAATGCAGAACAGCGCAGACACTCTGAAGACAGCCCGGCAGTTTCTTACAAAACTAAACATACACTTAGGATACAACCCAACAATGGCGCTCCTTGGTATTTTACCCAAAGTAACTAGGACTTACGTCCACACAAAGCCCAGCACACGAATATTTATAGCAGCCTTATTCATAATTGCCAAAACTCAGAGGCAACCAGGATGTCCTTCAGTAGACGGACAGATAAATAAACTGTGGTCCATCCAGACGACGGAATATTACTCAGCACTAAAAAGAAATGAGCTGCCAAGATATTACTAAATGAAAAGCCAACCTGAAAAGGTCATATACCGTACGGTTGCAACCCTATGACAAAACTATGGAGTCAGTCAAAAGGTCACTGGTGGCCAGGGGCTGGGGGAAGGCGTGGTGACGAGGTGGGGCAGAGAGTTTTTAGGGCAGTCAAACTACTCTGTGTGATCCCATAATGATGGATACATGTCATTATACATTTGTCCAAATCTACAGAATATACATGTCTATACACACATATATATAAGAAAGAGCATGCAGCCCCGTGAGAAAAACCACACTCACCAGACTGGCAAAAGTTACACTCAGAAAATAAAGTGTTTATGAGAATGCAACGCGTTAGGAACTTAAGGTTCTCTAAAGCTCTTTATATTCACGAATTCGCTACACAGACCACCTCTCAGCTTCCCTGCCTGCCCTGCAGACAGAAAGGTGGGCCCTTCAGACGTCTGCTCTGTGGGCTGGCAGGTGCAGCCTCGGCGGTGGGGGCGCTGGAGGAAGAGGGCCCTCTCTGCCTGGCTCCGGGTGCCCCTCCGGCCTCCCACCACCTGCAGCGTGCTGTCCCCCCAGCACTGGTCTCCTGCAGTGGGTGGCTTCTCCAGGGAGGGGCTCCTGCACAGCAGGACCAACCGGCCGTGTTCAGCAGCCAGGAGCTTCCTCAGGACATTTCGAAGCAAGTTCCCGGTCATGGAGCCTCCCTGGACAACCTCCCCCTGAGGGCGGAGTTCCAGCAAGTTCCTCCAGCACCACCCCTCAGCGTCTTCACTGCACTCTGCAAGCAGGCCTGGACCTTGGGCCGATGCCCCGCACACCCGTCTGAGCCCTGGGGACCTGGCTGCCCCTTGTGTCTGCAATCCCTGTGTTCTTTGGCATCTCCTTGCTTCTTAGTAGTCAATCTCCTGTTATTTCAAGCCTCTGTTATAGTTAGTAATTCTTTATTTTAAATTTTCTCTATTCAAATTAGTGTGGTTTCCGCCTCCTGGTTGCACCCTGGTGGGCACAGCAGATGAAGAGAAGGAAGGCGGAGGGAGGGCCCCAGGGGCAGCGGGAGAAGATGCACCGAGCACAAGCCTGAGAAAAGGGTAACAGCTCAGTCAGTCAGGCCCAGGTCGGACGCACAGAGACTAAACTGTTTTCCTAACAAAGAAAATGTAATACATAGAATTAGTTAAACCAGAGACAACACTGAGGTGATAGAGAGAGAACGGCCCCAGGACACACACCCCCACTGCCCTCAGGACTGGAGGCGCGCAGGGAGGACAGTGAGGTTCCGAGAACCCGGCAGCCAGGGGACTTCTGCAGAGCTGGGAAGTCAAGTACCTGAAACACTTCTGTACTTAGTGGTGCACAGACACTGCCCCGAATGCCCCAGCCCCTCCTCAGGTTACACCCTGTAACTGAAGGCGGGTACCAAGCCTCTACCCACCGTGGCCACGCCCAGCTCTGCCTGGCATCCATGCCGAGGGGTCGGTGCCCACACTCTACTGTCTGCTGTTTCCAAAGTGGTCCCCATCGGGGCCACGGCGGTCCAAACAGACAAGGTGGCCTGTGATGAGATGCTGAGTGCAGAGAGAGGAGGACACTTCTGAGCAACTACACACCAGCATGAGTGAAGCATCAAGATCAAGTCACCAGGCAGAGAGGTAACAGTAACATGGTGATAAACTATGTGCTGAGTGCTTACCAGGCGCGAGACACCATGTCCTAACTGTATCATCTCATCTAGTCCCCACGACAACCTCGTGAGGCAGGTGTTAATACATCCGCCCTTGCACAGAGCACATCACAGCTCGGAAGGTCAGGTAGCTCGGCTGGGGCACGAAGCCTGCCGGCGGCAGGAGCAGGACTGGCAGAACAAGTGGGGGCCCTTCCCCGGGAACAGCGATCGGGGCTCATCTCGGGGCTCATCATGGAAGGCGCACAGGAGACTCGGAGACGAAATGAAAGCTGCTGCTCCATTAACGGAAGCCCCACCAGGCCGCGCCCAGGAGACATTTTTAAGGGCAAGAGGACTTTCAAAGTCCTTCAACCTCCTAGATCCCAGCTTTGCTAGGAGAGAGGACAGAGCTCAGGTCCTCTGTCCTCAGCCTTTCCCGGAATCCAGGCCTTCCCTTCGAAGCCTGTCGCTGTGGCTGCAACACTTCCAAGGCAGAGCAGCCGTAAGGGTTTAAGAGGACAAGGTGTGTAATGTGCCCGTGCCGGTCACTTACTCACAGTAACTCAACAACCAGCCGCTCAGAGAGGAGCTGTGAAACTGGCCAAAAAGCAAAACACCGAGAGAAAAAAAGTATGCAAAGAAAATGCTGAACCAAGAACCTCAACACCATATTAAGTTAACATTGTAATCTAAAATAAAGAAGCAAGACACAAAATTGCAAGTACACACCCATACCCATACTCAGAAATACTGAAGAATGACTAAAAAAACAGGCAAGTGTTCACCCATGTAGCCTGCATACACAGTGATTATTGTTCTTGCCACTTTTATGAGCTTTTAAAAATTACTCTGCAACAAATTATAGAAAGTGTTCATAATAAAACATAATACCTTCATTTTTAATCTTAAGTACAGTTTACACAAGACATTTATATTTCTACTGAATATTTTACAATACTAACACTCAAATCCTTGTAAAATTTAACACACAAAAGAAGCCAATAACATGAGCTGGTCTGAAAGCCAACTGACCCAACAATTCATCAGGCAACTAAAAATTAGCCCTCTGAATCAGAACACAATTCTGGGAAAGAAAAGGTTTAAAGACGTCCTAGAAATAAGAAAAGAAAACTCCAGACAAGGACAAATGACAGTTTACTTTTACCAAACAGCTTATCAACTGATCTTTATGTAAACAGTGCAAATGTTACCAAGCCCCTCAGAGATCCCAGCAGCATTTTTACAGATTAGAAAAGAACAAAGGCCAAAGACAACACCAATAACTCAATTAAAATAACTCATGCTTGTGTTTACACAAAAGTTGATGAGCATAATATATTCGTCAAACCACTGCAATTATTCTCTGAAAATAATACTCTAAATATTATTTTGACAACGTAATTATAGTTTTTACCTCAAGAGCGGTAGCAAAAAATTGGCACAGAGAGCCTGCTAAAAACCTACGAAGAACATGGTTCTCACAGAGAAACAGTCAAAAGACAGCACAGGCACCGTGTCAGGAGCTAGAACACTCTGTGAAAGATTTGTATTAGGTTAGGTCTGAACTGACATACAATAAAATTTGTTCAAGTTTCATTGTTAAATCGAAGTTTCATTGTCAAATTCCAAATTCAGTAATATCACTAGGCCTTTTTCAAGAAGAGAGTGAGAAATTTCACTTAACTTCCATTGTCCTTCTTGCCCACCAAGATCCTTCCAAGTCTGTCAATAAACACGGGTCATCTACTCGAAACGGATAGAACCGAAAAATTTTAAAAGACCTAAATAAATGGAGAGATGTTCCTTATTCATGGACCAGAGGGCTCAACGTAACGGAGACGGCAGTTCTCCCCAAATGGACCCGTAGATTCAACAAAATTCCTCGTATCCACAATATGTAAGTAACTCTTGCAACCTGACAACAAAATTTAACAGCCCAATTAAAAACTGGGCAAAGGAAGGACCTGAATAGACATTTCCCCAAAGAAGATTTACAAATAACCAGAAAGAACATGGGAAAGTGTTCAGTATCATTAGTCAGCAGGGAAATGCAAATTAAAACCACAATGAGACACCGCTTCACACCCACCAGGATGACTATCAGCCAAAGACAGGAAACCAAATGTCAGCAAGGACGTGGAGAAACCGGAACCTTGCACTGCAGCCTTGTTGGTAAAAGTATAAAATAGCTGCTATGGAAAAGTCTGGCGGTTCCTTAAAAATTTAAATATAAAATTGACACAGCAATTCCACGCCTAGGTATATACCCAAAGGAAGTGAGAACAGGTGCTCAGCTACACACGTGTACACGCACATTCACAGCAGCCCTATCTGAAACAGCCAAATGGTGTGGAACCAGCCACAGGCTCATCACGAACAAATGAATAAATAAAATGTGCTATATGCATGCAATGAGATATTATTCAGTCATAAAAAGAAATGAAACACTGATGCACGCTACAATGTGGTTAACCTCGAAATGCATTATGCTAAGTGAAAGCAGCTAGACAAAAAAGGTCACTTAATTCCATGATGCCACTTCTATGAGAAATCCAGAAGCGACAGGACGCAGGACAGGGGCTGCCAGGGGCCCAGGGAAGTGGGGAAGTGGGGAGCAATTGCCCAACGGGCGCAGGGCTTCCTTTTGGGGCGATGAAAATGTTTCCGGGAGTGGTGGCTGTACAGTATGGTGAAGGCGCTAAATGCTACTCAGTTGTTCACTTGAAAGTGGTTAATTTTACGTTATGTAAACCTCATGTCAATAAAAAATACATTAACTAACTGAGGTAGTTACAACTGCAACTACTTAAACTGTGAACAACTCTTAACATACCTAACACAACACAGGATTATAAAGAGCTACACTCTCTGGCTGGCTGCATATCAATGAACAGCCAAGCCACCAACCAAATAACTGATTTATCCATCAGTGACAAACGGGTTCATAAAAAGCTTCAGAACTCTGCTCCTCGACCCTCCTTGTGAGATCATCTGTTTGCTTCCGTGAAGAGAAATCTAATCCCGAGAAAGGAGGATGAAACGATCCTTTACCATATGCTGTAAACACGATGTACCCGATCTTTTGCAGCAGAGGTAGGAGAGGGAAAAGGGACAATGGACTGAGGGGCACACGGAGTCCAGGGAAGATATTTTCAAGATGGAAAATAGGAGAGCAGGTTACATGCTGACAAAATGCTGGAGTAAAGACGGCAAAGTGACGATGCCGGAGAGAAGGGGGTAACCTCAGGAGAAGGGTACTCGGCCGCGTGAGTTGGGGTGCGCGGGGAGGGCTGGCTCCGCTCTGACACTTGGTCGGCGTTTATACAGAGCTTCCTCCGGGCAGCTTCCTCAGGACGACACCTTCACAAGCGAAACCTACTCCTCCCTGCCGCCGCCCTTCAGCTCTGTCAGTGACCAGCTACCCAGCACGTCAGTATTTTTCAGCGATTACAAAAGACAGTACACTCTGAACTCTCTCTTTCAGAATTATCATACCACAGTCAGACTTCAAAAATAACTGCCTTTCCGTGCAAGAGAGTGAAGTCTGTATTTTAATCCCCCAATTGGAGCACTGAGGCTTCTGTTCTGTCACAAAACGGAGCTACAAAAAAACTTTTAAATATGTAAAGTTTTAAAATACAACCTAATCCTACACCCTACCAAACTGAGAATACTCAAGAAATTACTGCTGTTCAAAAAAAATTAGAGCAAACATTTTGTGTTCAAATTCTTAATGACTAAAATAATTCCAAAAAAAATTACAATGTCCCAAAGGAAGAATTCTAAATCAAACAGAAGGATGCAGGAATTTTAACAAATGAGTTCTGAATGGAAACACTAAGGAATCACAGAACAGAATGAGAGTTAAACCGAGCCAGGCAGCACCTCTAGCAGCTAATCTAGCCTGTTGCACTGGGTGCCTCAGTTTCCAGGCCTGGGAAGACTGTGTCACCTTCATTTCTCTACTGACCTCCAGCACCCGCAGTAACATTAAGTATACTGCACTTTACACAGTCAGTAGAGGCATTAAGAATTGTATATAAATCAATTTATAAGTCAAATCATACTTTAAACAGAGCTGGAGATTTCTCATTTAAAGTAAGTATTCGAGCCCAGGAGTGTGGGTTGTGGGAAAAATAAGTTTTTGTTGAATTATTACTAAAACAAAATTTTTTTTAACCTCTAATCTAGTACATTTTATATGCTGGATGTTTACATTAAGATGTTCTTATTAAATGACTTAGGTTACCCATGAGTGTTTCAATTCCTTGACTAAAGAGATCATAAGATAAAATTTTATGTTTTTTAAACATAATATTATAATAATACCCTCTAACCAAAGAAGAAGTGTTGATGCTAGTAGTTTAAGAACCAAAACCATTCCAAAAAGGCTGGAAAAGCTTCCTGGTCCTCAAATTAAGCAGCCTGGTTTTTCTCTTAACCCCACACCGCCAGCGAGCAGCAGTCAGGGCTAACTTCCCTTCCTGTCATGCTACATATCTGACCTGTTTAACATATTTAGTACAAAGCTGGCCTCACTGGAATGTAAACGCCCTGAGGACAGAGATTTCCATCTGCTCTGGTCCCCCCGGGACCCCACCCCGCACTGGGGCAGGGCCTGCACGGCCCTACCCAGTAAAAGGCACTATCGCTTTGCGAGGGCCGCCAGGACACGGCCCGGACTGGGTGGCTTCACCAGCAAAACCGGTCTCTGTTTTGGAGCTGGGAGGCTGAGATCAAGGTGTCGGCAGGCTTGGTTCTTCTGAGGCTTCTCTCCTCGGTCTGTAGGGGGCCGTCTTCTCCCTTTATCTTCCGAGGGTCCTCGCTCTGTGCTTGTCTTTATCCCAGCCTCCCCGCTCACAAGGCCACCAGTCACAGCAGACTAGGGTCCACCCATATAGCCTCATTTTGCCTTCATTGTCTCTTGAAAGGCAGTGCCTCCAAATGCAGTCACGTTCTGAAGTACACGAGGGGTCAGGGCTTCGAGGTATGAATTTGGCGGCGACACAATTTCGCCCCCAACAGGGGGAAGAAAGGAAGCTACCACAACTTTCTTCCATGATAACCCTTCAGTATCACTAATGAAGTTTCTCTGTATCATGAAACAGAACATTTGCTTTAATGAATGATGTAATACTCAAAGTGCCGGTATTTAAACCCTTTTCAAAGATACAAACAACCCAGGAACGACACTGCAACTTACCTGTCAACAGGGATTCCTGTTCCACGCGCAGCTCACGGAAAAGGAGAATCAAGTCAACAGCGACACCGACTGTGTCCAAGCTCCTGCATAAGGTCAGAAAGACCAAGTCAGATGCATCCTTTTCCTTAAGCCTGTGTTTCAGTGACGATCCAGTGACTGCAGAGACCACAGCTGACAGTTCCTGTAATGCAGGGTGACAGCCCCCAGGGAGCCACACCTTAGTCCCCAAACCTGGGACTGTGCCACCTTACACGGCAAGGGAGACCTTTACAGTCGTGAGTAAATCAGGATCTCGAGAGGCTAAGACTGACCTGGAGTAACTAGGGAGGCCCTATGTATCACCAGGGTCCTTATGAGAGGAATACGAGGAGGTCAGGGAAGGAGGCTGTAAGCCGAGGATGCAGGCGGCCTCTAGAAGCCAGAAAAGGCAGGAAAATGATCCTCCCCCAAAGCCACGCTGACCCACTGCGGGCTTCTGAACTCTGGAACTGTAAGATAATAAATCTGTGCTGTTTTAAACTATTAAGGTTTTCAGTAATTTGTCACAGTAGCAAGAGAAAACTAAGTTGGGTAGCAGAAATGGTGTGCTGCTATAACAAACAGATACACGGAAGCGGCTTTGGAATCTGACAATGGGCAGAGGCTGGAAGAATTTTGAGGCGCATGACAGAAAAGGCCCATGTGCCTTGAAGAAACTGTTGGTAGAAATGTGGACACTGACGGCACTGCTGGTGAGATCGCAGACGGAAATGAGGAACATGCCATTGGAAACTGGAGGAAAGTGGCAGAAGCTTCGCAACACCATGAACTTGGATACTTAGCCAAGCAGATTTCCAAGCAACATGTTGAAGGTGTGGCCTGATTTCCTCTTGTTGCATATGATAAAAATGCAAGAGAGGAGAGATAAAGGAAACCGAAAGGGAACGAGGTGTGATTTGGGAAACTCTCAATCTACACAGACTGCAAAAGATGCTAAAACCAGAAGGTCACTGTTAGGAAAATGTGCTCTAAAGAGAAAGCCAAGAGTGTGGCTGGATGACCTCTTGCTAATGCATTGGCAGAACCAAAAGGTCAGTGTTCAGTCACACGTCTCTCTGAAGGGATCAGGTGTGTGAATCACTGCCCTCGGTCATCTCCGCAGAAACCAGGAGTAGAGATGGGGTTATGATCTGAGGGAGCTCTGTGGCGGGCCTTAGACTGCCTAATGGTGTATAAATCCCCGTGACACACACGTGAGACCCACGAGGGTTTTGAGAATGTTACACCAGTAGAAACTCAGCCAACTTGGATGAAATGCACAGAGAAAGGACGAAATGAAAGAGGGCTGTTAACTCCCAAAATTCTGCAGGCAGGAATTAGGGTGAACTGCTCAGCTGAAAACAGTTACTCTTACTCTTCAAGGAAAAGGAGGCTGACTCTGGGGGCAGGGCCACGGGCAAGAGCCTCGAGCCGCAGAGGGCTATTCCCAGGCCTCAAAACCAGAATTTGCCCAGCTGGATTTTGAGATGGCTTGGGACCAGTGACTCCTCTTTTCCCTCAATTTTCTCCTTTTTTAGAGTAATGTCTAAAACTGTTATCCTATGCCTGTCCCACCACTGTATTTTGGGAGCAGACTACTTGTCGAGTTCCACATGGCTAAAGAAAAAAGGGACTTCTGCCCTGGATGAATCATGTCCAGAGTCTCACCCATATGTAATTTCCACGGTAAGATTTGGGACTTTTTAGCTAATGAGACTCAGGTGAGATTTCGGACTTGAGCTGATGCTATAATGGGTCAGGAATCTGGGGGACTTTGGGATGAGATGAATGCATTTTGCACACAGGATAGAAATGGATCTTTAGAGGCCAAAGGGTGGACTGTGCCAGGCAAAGTAAAGGTCCCTGGAAGATGTCCACATACTAAACTCTGGACACGGTGAATGTTACCTTATACGGCAAAAGAGATGCGACACAACAACGACTACATATGGGATCTCTGTCCCCAGTGCCTGGCACAGAGCTCCTAAACGCTTGGAAGTTCCTGTGTGACAGGAGTGCTTTCTGTTATTCATACCAAGCCCCTCTCAACCGTACCTGAGTTCATGCTAAGGAGGCAACTTTGCTGGGCCTGCAGACAGCTTCAGGATGGGGGCTGGTTGCCAGGGGAACCAGCCACATGATCAGATGGCTAGACAGCTGCAACTGTCAACCCCAACCTCCCACTTCCGGGGAGGGGAAGAGGGCTGGAGATCAAGTCCAACCACCAATGGCCAGTGATTTAATCAATCGTGCCTATGTGATGGAACTTCCATGAAAAAAGTCCTAAACAGTGCGTCTGGAGGGCTTGTGAGTGGGCTGATGAACACATCAAAGAGCTGAGAGGAAGATGCGCCTGGAGAGGGCAGAGAAGCCCCACCCACCCTCCGCGATGCTGCTGCCTGGCGCTCCCTGAGCCGCACCCTTCATAGTAAACTAGTAGGAGTATGTGCAGTGTTCCCTGCTTTCTGTGAGTTCTACTGAACTATCAGACCCGAGGGGTGTCATGGGAACCCCTGAATCAGTAGTCAGCTGGGCAGAAATGTGGTCTAGGTACTCCGTTTGCAGCTGGCGTCTGAAGTGGGGCAGTCTTGTGGGACTGAGTCGTGAAGCTGTGGAGTCTGACGCCACAACTCGAGGTAGTGTCAGAATGGAACTGAACTGTTGGACACACAGTTGGTTTTGGAGAATAAGAACTGGTCAAAAAAAACATCACAAGAGACTTTCTATTGTGATTAAATCACTGGTGTGAAGACGGGAGGGTGACCCTGGCTTCCCTGGGTGAGCCTCGTGTAACCATTACGGTCCCCATCACGGGGAAGCCAGATGGTCAGGATGAGAAAGAGGTGGGAAGATGTTACGGTGCTGCTTTGAGGATGGGAGCATGGAGCCATGGAGTAAGGAATGCAGGCAGCCTCTGGAAGCTACAAAATCAAGAGAATGGATTCTCTACGAGAGACTCCAGAAGGAACCAGCCCTGCTGGCACTTTGCCTTCAGGTCAGCAGAACTGATTTAGGACTCCTGACCTCCGGAACTGTCGGATAATAACTTTCTGCTGCTTCAAGCTTCTGAATTTGCAGTAACTTGTTCCAGCAGCAAAGGAAGCTAATAGAGCTCCCTACCTCTTCACCATCCCTCAGCGTGAGTCACAATTAAGCCAAGACCTTGCTGCCTGATGAAGAAGAGGGCCGGGATGGCAGGCAGTGGCTAGGACCCTCTCTCCTTTCCCTGAGGCCAGGTGGGCAGAAAGCCGCTGCACCTCTCCCGTCATCCAAGCACAAGACTGGTGGGAAAGGAGGCTCAGCGCCTGCCTCCCGGCGCCTCCCTGCCTCCTCCTGCTCCTGCCTCTACGTAGACACAGATGGTTACCAGGCAACTGGGCCTCTGCCTGAGTCTGTGGGCCAGATGTGGGAGGAGCGGGGTGTAACTCCACGACATGAAAATTTCATGAAATTCAAATTTCAGTGTTCACAAGTGAGGCTTTACTGGAACACAGCACGTGCATTTGTTCACGTACGAGGTAAGGCTGCTTCCGCAGGACAATGGGAGGGCTGAGACGTTCTGACATAGATCACAAAGCCTCAACCATTTACCGGGCTCTCTGCAGTAACAGGACAGCGACCCTGGCAACAGGGGTTATGTTTACAGCAGAGCTAACTGCTTTCAACAGTTCTCTCTGAGTACTTCCTGAATTTCATGTGACTCGGGTTGTTTGCTTTGCTGTTACGCCCCGTATTCCATATATCCTTGGCAAAACATAATCCCATTCCACACAAAGTGCAATGTTCAGACAAAAGATGTAAAAAGATCTAGGCCTTAACAGCATCATACCTTTTGATTAACTCTTTAATAACTTAAAACATCGGAAAAACACATACTGATTGAGATCTGAGTCTTGACAGGCTCAAGAAATACAAATTAATTGTTTTCAAAGAAAGAAATAATAACATAAACTTGTATTATAGTATCATTCTGGAGGCGATGACAGAAACACTTAGCTTTTACTGAGCATACCATGTACACAGACACCTTTCGGTATTTTACATTAAGCATTAGCTCTTAAAACTCACTGGTACTCGTGAAGGCTAAGGCCCTGGCTATTTAAGGGACGGCACCATCACAGACAACAGCGTCCATGTGTCTCGAGGTAGTTGTGACAGCTGCTTCTGGGCCAAGTTTTAGAGTCAGATAGTCCGGAGTCACGGAGAACCGTCCTGAACTCTGCGACTTACTAAGTGAGAGACTCTCGGACAAGTTCCTCAGCCTGGGTCACATTTTTTTCTTTTGTAAAAATGGCAGAATAGCAGCATACTATTTCTTGGGTTTGTTCTAAGGATTAAACAAGATACTGCCAGTCAAGGTCTTGGAACAAAGCCCTGGCGCTGAGGGCAGGCCCTTCGAAGCCGGCTTCCCGCCCACGAGGCTACAGAAGCACAAAGACGAGTTTGCCAGCCCGCAAAGTCCCTGTTCTAAGGCTCTCCCTCCCTCTGCCATCAACCAGAGGGCCTCCCTGCCTGGACAGGGACAGAGGAAACTAGCCTCTGGCCTGCTATTTCCAGCATACAAATACTTACGCTTTTTAAAAGTTAACTATTATTACCAAGATCATTATTGTTTCTGTCCATTTATCTGCAAATGGATGCCATGTTCAGTTCAGTCCTGAAATTAAACAATCCGAACTTTTGTTCCCTCTCCTTTGATCTAAAACATCTCATTAATCATACCCCAGCCTCAGGTATAAGACCGTCTGGGCAGCGCAGGGAGCCCCTCACTGGCTTCTGGACCAGCCCGGCTTCACCCATCACAGCAGTGACAGGGAGGCCTGGAGGCTCTGTCTACATGCAAGTCCAGGAAAGAAAAGTGAGCATGCTTTGTGGCTTCTGACTTCGTCTCAAGTAAAAAATTTTAATAAAAAGTAGATTCCTTACAATCGAAGGGGCAAGGAGCTCAGTTCTGGGAGGGCAGTGCAGCACGTCACAGGGCAGGAGCCGCGCAGGGCGGTCCCCCCGCTCACCGTGTGACTGCACTCAGCGTACGTTACAAAGTGGGTGGAAGCGGGGCTGGGGACGCCACACAATCTTAAGGAAATCTTAAGTAGGCCATCTTAGAAATTCACAAAGCACGCTCCTTGTTCAAAGTAAACACAGGAGCAATTAGTTAAAATACTAAAACTACTTAAAACATTTACAAGTAAGAAAAGTGAGGTCCCGAACTGCCTGTGCATTCAGGCAGGCAGAATCTGGGACCAAAGAATCAAAATCAAGTTCAAATCACTGTGCTACATAGAAAACCAAATACCTCAAAACACTGTAAATACAAGCAAGGAGCCGAGATAACCCTAAGGGCACACATCCTGGCCTCATCTCAGAGTCTCCAAGGCCAAGCCCCGCAGAGCACTGCTCCCGGGGACACAAAGATGGCCTCCTCAGCACGGCGGGCGACTGTGACGCCAAAACCACTTCTGACAGATAAACACGTAAACGCGACACGACCGGCGTGCCGTCCACGAAGAAGTGCAACCGCAGGTAACGCGCAGCCACGGAGGATGGTACCTGATGGAGTTCTGGTTCACGGAACACTCTATGCACGCGTTGCGCAGACACCGGAAGCACTCCGTGATTAACTGCAGGCTGGAGGCCAGATGGTCCACCTGGGACGGGTCCCTGCAGGCCAGCTCAACGGCCTGAGAAGACTTCTTCAGGATATCCAGGACTCTCTGGAAGATGGTCCTGGGTGCCGTTTCTCTGGGGGTAAAAAAAGATAAAATTGTTACAGACCAGAAAAAAGACTAATTTCCAAATGTCCATCTCAGAACACTGCTTGTACCTAACTCTGTGGGGACGCAGTCTAGGCCTACCTGTTCCAGCTCCTTAATTTACAACACGGAAGAGCCCCAAGACCAGGCGCTTAGCCAAGGCCCTGTTCTTACTGACCTTCCCCTGTATTACCCCATTTAACCTTCGCTTCAACCTTACGACGCCAATACCACCATCTCCATTTTAAAGACAGGGTAACAGTGTTAAAGGTGTTTAAGCAACTTGCCCACATCACTCAGCTAATCACTGGCGGAGCCGCGACCCCACCTCAGTGGCTTCAGTGCTCCCGCTCCCTGCAGCAACCCAAAGCCCCACTGAAGGTGACTGTTTCTGGATCTGCCCTTAATCAAAACCAAACATCTGCATTTCATGCTCTAGACAGGGACTATAACCATGTCCTCTGTCACCCACTAGGTGCCTAAAATTACGAGGAACAATATTCACGAAGGACTGCCCAGGGGGCAGATACATGATCCAATCTTAGATGCCGTGAAGCCAGCGACTGTGCTCTGAGCTTACATGTGTTCAACCATGTAGGTGGGGGTGGGGTGGGGAGGAGACAGACAGAAACAAAGACAGAGACAGCCAGAGCAAGCTCTCCCCCGAGAGCATGGCCCTGGGGGGACAAGGAACCGCGCTGTCCTGCTGGCCTTCCCCCCGTGGCTGTCCCCCGGGGCACCTCCGTTCCCAGAGGCCTCTCGTGCCAGGGGCATCGCCTGCGCTGGCTCTCAGCCCACAGCAATGAAGATGAGAATTTTTGGGTGCGACATGGCACCTAAACGCAAGCCAATTTCCTCATTCCATGAACCCCCTGAAGAAACAAGCTGTTTTAATGACAGAGGAAAACTGCTGCGTTAGACAACTGAAGAGATCCTCACAGATGAGTTCTGACCGCACGACTTCTCGGTTCTGCTCTCACTGTGGAGCCACAGCACTGCCCGTGTCACCCCTGGGCTGAGCCAGACCACACAGAACCTCCACACAGAACCGCCGCAGGCTGCTGGGCTTGCTCGGGCAGTGGGGACACCTCCCCCCTGGGCTTCAGGACCACACATGCTCGGGCTCCAAGTGCTGTCCTTTTATCTTAGGGGTGGATGCTGCAAGTCACATCAGTCACCGTGTTCTGCTCTCGGTCTTTGTCTCTAAGAAGCCTGGAGTCGAACCTCTGACCCACCTTTAACACTGCAATCCTCGGCGTGGCTCTGAGCACTAATCTTATTTCTCCTGTCTGGCTGTTCCCTTGTCTCCAACTTCCTCCCTTATCTTTATTTTATTTAATGGTATTTATTTTTTAAGGTACTTCAAATATGTTTCTGGAAAGAGGCAGCGTATAAATTAATCAATTAAAAACTGGGAAATCATGCATAAAATAATTTGTCCCCCCATCACCCCTCTAAATGTGGAGCGTGAAGCTTTGATTCAGAATTTCAGTGACTTGAGTGACCAAATAAAAACGTGAAAGCTCAAGGGCGCGGCATTAATCCTGCCTCAGTAACTGCATAAAGCAACGTGGAGTGACAGCCGCTCTCGGTGACGATATGCCATAAAAAGAATACTCGTGAGCACTTTCAAGACAGCTTTAAGGAGTACAGTCGGGCAGCAGGAAGTGTCCGCCTCCCCTCCTGAGTTCTTGTGACTGGACTAACAATAAAACTGACCCAAGACAGATTAACAGGAGGAAGAGAAAGGTAATTCACGTGCCCAGAGGTTTCATAGAAATGCGGCCTAAAAAGTGGACCAAAGCAGGCAGCTTTTATACTTTTTAGACAAAGAAACAATAAACTTGTGAGGAATTGGCAGAACAAAGAAACTCAGGCTTTGGGTGCTTAGTAGTGAAGCCTCTGGCCAGAGTTCGGACGTGGGGCAGTAAATTAAAGAAGTAACAAAGTTTGTGCGTCTGGGTTTCTCAGCCCCGAATTCACCTCTGGGCATCAGGGTGTCCTCCACCTCCAGGTGCAGGGAACACACCTCTCGCAGGGAGATGTACCGCCTGTTTTCAGGGAGGCAGAGGGACGGGTCAGAGCGTCCCTCTTGTGATAGCTCTTTCTTAAGTAATTTTAAGTAAAAAAAAAATCAGTATGTCACGGAGGCAAATGTTGAGGAGGTCTGCTCTGGGCTCCAACAGCACTAAGTACAGTGCAGACCTTAATATGCTAAGAAAAAACCCAAGAGGTAAAACAATTCTGAAGAACGCCAAGAGTGATCATGATTTCTCCAACAAGGAGAAAACCCAATTACCTCCACGTGCCCCACTGGCATCAAGTGTGGTGGCATTTACTCCCTAATCTTACAGTCAGACAAAAGCAGAGCTGCACAGCTTCCACAACCTACAGCGCAGCCGCATGTTCCTACCAGGATGACTAAGAATGCGTGTTCACTCCTGGGGTAAGGACGCCAACGTGCTTTCTTCTGCAAGCTACCTCTCACGTGGGCGCCGCCGTCTTCCTGTACACGGTCTTCTCTGATGTCACTCTTTGAAATCCTAGCATCAAAACTGGTACCTTGCACATCAAAAGTCTGAAGTCAAATTATGGTAGACGACACAAAATTTTTAAAAACCACTATTCTTAGGAAAACTGGGTAACTGATATTCCAACCATAGAACGATCAGTAAGTTCATGAACTGTCCTGTGAATAACCCCCAATGTTACGTGTTAATCTGTCACACACACACCATGCTTTTCTCCTCTATTACACTTTAAGCCAAAAGAAAAATGGTTAACTGAACTAAAGTCAATCCAAAGATTCCTGAAATACAAGTAACCTCTAACAGCTACTGAAGAGTAATCAAGGCAGCGTTTATAGAGCACGTGGTAATTTATATTTGTGGTATAAAGAGAAAATAAATGAGGATTTTTTTTAAATGGCGGTACCAGCGATTGAACCCAGGACCTCGAGCATGCTAAGCACATCCTCCACCACTGCGCTCCACCCCCACCCTCTAACCTGGGACTGTGATCACTGCCATTTGTTGTCCCCGGGCCACACACCCATGGGTTCCTGAAACCACTGAGCACTTGCAGTCCTGCGTCTGCTCAAACCTACGGCCTCCACCAGACCGCCCTTCCACACCGCCCCCACCCAACTCGCTGCCTGGAAGAACCCGGCCTTTGGAAAACTCCCAGCCCTGGTCAAACTCCCTGGTCCTCAGAGTCCTCGGGGGACCACCTCCCACCTCTGTGCTCCTCTGGGACTCAGTCCATAAGAATGGAATAACACTTGTCGGGTCTGTCGCCCCAGCTGGACTATAGATCCAAAAAAAAAAAGAGAGATTTTATTTTCTTCCGTATCTCTAGGGCCCAGACTGGCATTCACTAATTGTATTTGTTCAACTCAAGTTTAAACAGTGATGAGAATATCGGCATATTCAGAGTGGCATCTCACTGCCTCCCTGACTCATTCCGTCACCCAGACACTAACTGAGCAGGGCTCTGAGGCAGGCCCAGGCCTGGCGTGGGCAGTGAAATCCGCGCACTTCGCGGCAGCGGCTGGAAAACACTGAGGCACCGGCGCAACATGTCCACTCCCAGTAAGAAATCCATACCTCCTGGACTCAGAAACTTGAAAAAATGGCCACATTTTAAGATGGAGATATCCTATGATTGGTATTTAAGAAACATCTACCTCTCCTTCCCCATAAAATGACATAATGGGTAAGCTTAAAGGGGGAGGCGGGGAGAGGGGTTGTAACCCAATTAATTATATTTTAAATTTCTTGAAAGCAGAGACTTTCTTAGATGTCTGTATCCCTCTATAAAAAGGGGGGGACCTCTTTCCTCCAGAGCCATATAATGAACAGCCACAGATTTTATTCACCATATTTTAATACAATATGATACATTAACAACTTCCATCAGATGAAGACCAAAAATAAGCTTTTCATTAACAGTAACCTCTATGAAAGCACGTACTTCTCTTCTAGACTTCTTCACCTTCTCTAGAGCCTTGACAGAAAGCTGTTTGGCACTACAGATCCAAAGCAGTCCTAACGTACTCTGTCTGCGAATTCCATGTTCACTGTCAAGACAGCACAGCTAAATATGTGTAATGATTAACGACAGTGAAACAGCCAGTGAAGATCAGTCAATGGTTCACATATTACAAATGTTATTAATAATAAAAACTGCTGTCATTGCTGCTTTAACCAAACTAACACAAAACATTCACAAAGACTTTAAAAAGCTTAGCTACTTCATTCACAGAGGTAGAAGGTACTTACAAGGACAATTAAAATTCAACCGCTAGACATCCCTTTTAGAGAGGAATGCATACCCTGCAGACAACACATAAATGCAATGTTACATTACAGAACAAAACAAGAGCCTTTGAGTTACACAAAAGGTAGAATTTCATTTCCTTCAAGTTGGAACAGATCTGTAGGTTTGATCCTGTTTGAGTAAAATTAAAGAAAACTGCCGGTGATTATATGCAGCAGGTTAGATGGGTCTAACGAACTACCTGTACATGCGTCCGACAGTTAACACACCAGGCGGGACCCCTGCTTGACAAGGAAACTAGCTGCCCGTCACTGGAACCTACAACTAAGACTTCCACACTTGTTAAAAGATTTATTCTAATACCTTAGATTTAATTAAAAATTGCCATATGTGGTCTAGAGTAGTTTAACCCCCGTCACTGAGAAAAAACTATTAAAACACACACAGGTTCAGAGACTAAAATAACAATCACTGGTTGTTATTTAAAGCCATAAACCCTGCTTACTGAGTTGACTGGGTTAGAGTGAATGAAAACAGAAAATAAAAACATTTCTATCTCCTACGAGAAACAGCCTAGGGCAAAAGTTTGAAATTTATCTTTGCAGCCCTCAAAACTCTCCTTTGGTGCTCTTTTCCCTTCATCTGTCACATGCAGGACTCTGGAGCTGTCCCTGGCAGCGAAGACCGATCCATCCTGCAGGGCTGGGAAGC